ATATTTTTAACTTTATAATGCTATAACTTTTTGAAAGATGTATGGATCAATATAATTCTTTTTTATGTAGATGCATGATGTCTTTACCTATCATTTGGTATATTTTTTTTATAAAGCTGACTTTTTACCTGCCTACAGAGGGGGATTCAAAATGACAAATTTTTCACAAAAAATTGATTTTTTCAACTTAAATTTTTCAACGTAACATTGTTTAGTTGTCTGTATATTCAAAATACACACAAGTGTGTGTATTCTTAATATTTCTGTTTGAATAATTAACGTTGATAAATGGGCGAAATCAAACGATAAGATTGCTTATTGTAACATAACTTTATAAAAATATAAATCTATTCGTTTTCAATAAATATGCAATTATTGAATTCGAAGAAGACCAATGTCAGGTTATTCCTACTAAATGGATATCAAAAAATAATAAGGTTTGTTTTTTAGCTTCGATGAGAAGTTGAGAAGGTATTGGTTTTACTAAGATGTGTTTTTTTTTTTGTGTTTGTTACCACTTTTTAAACTTTTTCAACTTAAATTTTAAAAGTGTTCCGGAAAGTCTGACACTTTTCTATATATCTTAAATTAAAGCTAATATAATCTATTTTATTATGTAAAAAAAAATTTTCGGACTTTATTTTATCTTCAGGGTGAAAATGGCTACCAAATGCTATTTTTGTGTGAAAATTTTCGATTTTGTATTTTACATTTTTAACTTTATTATGCTATAACTTTTTGAAAAATGTATGGATCAATACAATTTTTTTATGAGAAGTAGTATTTATATACATCTTTCATTTGACATACTGTTTTTTTAAATCTAACCATTTCCCTATATACGAGGGGGGTTCAAATCTAAAAAATGTATGTAAAAAGTAGAACTTTTTCAACTTAAATTTTGAAAGTGTTCCGGAAGGTCTGACACTTTTATATATATCTTAAATTAAAGCTAATGTAATATACTTTATTATGATAAAAAAAAATTTCGGACTTTATTTTATCTTCATGGTGAAAACAGACATTAAACTTAATAAAAAAAATACGATTTTTGTAAAAAAATTCTTTTTTATATTTTTAACTTTATAATGCTAT